TGATGAATACATTTTTCCAGCTATGCCTATTTTTATTTGCAAAAATTATTCATTAGTCAGGTATCTAAAAGAATTTGCAAGGTTTGCATTTCTTCATGCATACTGGCATGGCAGAGATTAGTACAAATTTATAAATAGCTGTGTTCTCTGAATTTAGCTTTACATAAGAGAAAGTTCTCTGAGTAGCATTTATTTAGTTAATCCAATGAAATCCTTGAACAGAATTTAATTACAGAAGCAGTTCAGCCTCCATATGAAAGAAAATGGAATCATTTCATTTCCATGCCAGTTTTTTCTTTCATCAGGACTTTTTTCCCATTAAAAATATTCACATGTGAAATTAAGCTCTCTAGGATTTCCAGACAGTTAACTTAAATGTGTAGTATAGGCCAGGGGTCAGCAACATCTTTGGGCAGAGTGCCAAAAGCACCCACAACCTCAACTTGTAAGATGTTGGTGTGCCAGGGGCAGACAGTGGGGGAGCCATGAGTGGCCCAATCCTTGTTATAGCAGCACAGGCCTGGCCCCTTTCCTGCTGTCTGCCCCAAGGCATGTGTGCCAAGCAAAATGCCCTTGCATGCCACACTCCGGCACTGTGCTTGTGGTTGCCTACCCCTGCTATAGGCAAATCTGGTAGAATCGTCTGCAGTTAAGTTGTCTGATACTAAAAAAACTTTCTCAAATTTTAAGCATTTTGGCTGGCATTTTCCATATGATGCATCTGTCGTAGGCAAAATTTCTAGCAAAAATTACCAAGAATGTGGTTCAGTCATTTGTCAGACTCAAATTAGGGAAAAATACATTGTTTTAGCAGTGTTAAAATACATTATTTTGACTGTTTTTTAAAAAAAAGAATAGTATGACAGGAAAAAAGGTTACTTTTTTCTAAAAATGAAGGTTGAGGTGCCTTGTACTATCTGTGGATAATTTAAGGAAAGCAAATATTGAGGGTCTCATGAGTTCTGGCCACACATGGTAAGACGAGGCACCCAGGGGAAGAGGGACTTCATGAGATGAACAGGAATAGAGAGGACAGGAGCAAGTTTAGGGAAAAAGGATTTTCTAGAAACAGGGAGAAAAAGGCAAAAAGCCAAGTGATAGGGGTGGATTGGAGCAGAGAGTTTGGGACATAGGGTTCAAGGAGTAGGATAGGAGATGAGATGGAGGTAATAGAGGATGTAGAAGAGCGGGTAGGACAGCATGTTGGGACAGTAAATAGTACTAGAGGGAAAAAAGGAGGCAAAAGGAACCATGATGGAGTACCAAGGAGCAGAAGGATACAGGGCAGATACCCTCCTTAGCCTGCCATTGAGCACTGAAGTCCTGAGTTGACATTTTTCTGCCAGAGGTTTAACTAGCCAGGAGTGTCTAAAACATATCAAGGACTTTGTATCTTAAACTTTATACCTAATGATTAATGTACAATAAGAGGTCATCATCATCTGTGATGACCTGGGATAATTTGGACATTTTTTATCACACCAAAACTACTTGGTGTGATAGCATGAGCTATTGCTTTTTGAAGTTAATAGCAGCCTTTCAGTGTGTGTTTGATCAGGTCCTAAGTGAGAATATAGAAACTGCATTCATCGTCAGAAAATTGTGGCAATTAGCAGGGATAGTGTAGTTAAACCACCTGCACTATGGCAAGCAAATCATGAGGGTTTATCTATGTATGTGAAGTTTAGTCAAGCATCATTTATCCAAACATTGATTATCTGAAAAATGTTCTTATAGTAATCTAAGTCCTAATCCCTGGCATGTATCTACTGCATTGAAAAGTCCTTTGTCTGTTCAGAACCTGGATTACTGAAATTACTTTCTCATCCCTCAATTCATTCAGATAAAGAAATGTTGATGTTACAGGCTGTAACTCCATCTGTGTCACTAGAGTTATGCCTCTACAGTACTGAAGAAATTCTTCTGATGCAACAGAAGTCCTTACCCTTCATCTTACAGTAGTAGGAGCACTTTGATTCCATTTAAACATTTGATGATTTTAGACACCTGGCATACATTACATTTATGAAATGATTAACCAGTTAATCATATTTTAAATATTTACCCAGCCACCTGTCAATGCAATTAATAAAGCAAGGAATAAAGCTAGCACAAAATAAAGGTGTGATACAGCAAGGAATGAACCACAAAGTTATTATGCAATGTATGTGCAATAACCCTGTGGCTAGTTCCTGTCGCGCTATTAATTGAACATGTGGCCAGACTTTTCTGGTTCCAGCCTTAGGGACCCATCAGAGTCCAGAGCTTCTATGTGCCTTGAGGCTGAAAGCTGCAATCAGCTGCTGCTCCTAGCCACAGGGACACATCGAAACCCTAGATTCCAATACACCAGCTCCAGTGGGAGCTGTGGAAGATTGGGGCTTCTGCCTCCAGCTGGAGTCAAGGGTTCCATTGCAGTCCTGTGCCTGGGAGGACTATCTGTTGATTCAGGCTCCCAGCCATAGGGCAGATGGTGTGTCCCTGTGCTGGAAGCCTGGATCAGCTGAGGGCTCTAAGTTGTGGGGGGCGTGGTGCTGATGGGGCTCCAAGCAATGGGAGCCCTACATCAGCAATATGGCATAATGTGATCCGATGCTTGATCTCACCATCACACCTCCTGCCATGCACGTGTGGCATAGCAGGAAGCACGATTGTGGGAATCTTGCATCGCATCCTGTCGTACCTTAAATGGCACACCTTCCAGAGGCCTTAGACATCAATATTTCCTGAGAAGTGTACCAGTGCAGTAGCGGTGCTTCATGTAAGTCTGTAACTCCATATTAAACCGTTTATACTAAATGGTCAGCCAAATCACCAGACTTATGTTGTATCACAATTTAAGGGGCCTGACATTCTTTTAAATAAATTCACAGATTTATTTGATACTTGCCTACATGGAACTGGAATGGAACTTCACTGATAGACCCTTTCTAAGGAAATACAGAGGATAGTTGCTAGAGGATGGTTGAATTATTATGTAGTAGAACAAAGTGATACAACCCTAAGCTAATGGAAACTGATAGGGAATAGATCCTAGGGGCACAGGATTAAGAATCAGTTGAAGTTCAGTTATACTTAAGTATAGGTTAGGAATTGGGAGGTGCACAGAGCATGTGCATTTGCTGTGCTCCGTGAAATCTAACTCCATAGAGCTTCCTGCATGCTGTCATATCAGGGGAACTTAGGGATAAGCTACACTCAGTCTTTTTATAGTTTAGTGGTTTTTGAGAATTGAAGATACAGCAGCCTTTTATGTGGAAGCTCACAGAGAAAGAGTGGAGCAGGTACAATGCTACTTTATTAGCTTCCCTAGAGCTATTTCATATAAGATGTACATATCACTCTTTAAATCCAAGAAAGAACACCATCCAAGCGACTTATAGTGATGCCAGTTTTAGATATGCTGTCATGATACCCCATACCAGTGAAGTGAAGAAATGGAACATTTAATGACCTTACTATATACTGGATGTACTGTTCTTTTAGCTAACAGGTCTTTAATCATCTGGGACAGGTACCTGATTTTGACCTGAGGATGGCTTTGAAAAGTGAGAGTTTGACAATTTATAGCAATACAAAACAAACGGCAGTGTGTGGAAAGGAGGAGCTTACCATGGACAAATTTAACTTCCACTGCACCACTATTCTCTGTTGGGATGTTATTAGTGTCTGATTAGGAAACAATGGTAGGGTCTGACTTTGCTCGTTAATTTTGTTTACAATACAGTTATCTTGGGCCAGTGATTTTTCCTGTTTTAAAAATATTAGAGATTGGTTTTGGAAAGAGAATATCTAAGATTCTTCTGCTGTTTTTCTTTTGCACAGTTTGCAAGGGGTCCAGTATGTCTCCAATCTCATATGTGGGACCTTTGTTCAAACACAGCACATCCTGTGTGTCCTAGTTTGCCATGCTCTAGGGCACAACATGAATTGGCTTTGCATCTGCATTATAGTCTTGCCCTGCATTTGGAGTTATATGAGGGGAAAAGGTCTGCTTCCCTGCCAATCAGTTCAAGTTCTTTGTAGTTTATTTTTCCCCTTGGCAGCAGGAGCTTTTTCTCAGGACCACAAGAGCACGCTGTGCTTTGAACAGGTAAAGCAGCAACATTGTTGTTGCCTAATACGTATGCAAGGAACTTATTCAAGCATGACAGCTTGGGTAAATAGGGCTGGTACCATGTATGCTTGTCTTCCTGTCACTCTCAGAAGCCTCTGCTAGGATGGTGTTGGCAACAAGTCCTAGAGCAGTGGGTTATCCTAGTAGACACTCTGTTCAGATGAATGGAGCAGTTTGCAGTTTTCAAAGTCGTGTTACTTTATCACTCACACTTGAGTCACTCTTTCAAGAGATTTTCCTGGATTGCTGTTATAGCTGTGATGATCCAGGAAATATGTGAGACATGCAAAAGTTTGTCTAAGGCTATCCCATGGGTAACCAAGCCATAGCACACATGCCACAAGCATGGCACCGTTGCCCTACGGTGCCGACTCTATTTGGTATACCTCTAGAGTCAGGGATCCAGAGAAGTACTTGGGGAGGGCTAGAGCATGTTTGCCAAAAAGGTTGGCTACTATTTGTCTGTCCCAACTATGCAGTTGATCCAGCAAAAATACCACCCATAAAAATTCTTGCTTTCTGCATCAGTAGATATTTGTTTTACTTATATTGTTGTAAAATATTAAATACTTCAACAATACTAAACTATTTTAATAATGATAATTAAACTATTATACTTTGTGGTTCATAGTAACTTTCCATTATTTCTCTCTAGACAGAGTTATTTGTGCATGCATTCAAAGATCAGCTGATCAGAAGTGCCCTTTTAGCACTGTACAAAGCCCGTCCAGGTTGTGTCCTCAAGAAACCGACTGTGCCCAGGAACAGCGTGGAAGAGGGTGGTGATTCACAGCATCAGGACCATCCATCTCAGATCAAAAGGCAGGACTCTATACCTCACCACTCAGAATATGATGAAGAAGAGTGGGTAAGTAGCCCCAAAGCTCTTGCTTGAGGTTCAATCACAAAAAAATATAGCTCAGATTAGACAAATACAAGTGGTTGATATCCATACCACCTCTTGTAAGAGAAAGGACATTTTAGAACTGTTTTGCTGATGCCTAATCCTGTTTTGATTCACTGGATTGCTAAAACTACTATTCATGTAGAACTCCACAAAAGTAACCTGAAAATAATTTTCTTAGAAGTAATCGATTCACATTTGAGCGCTCACAGCCTACAGTAGTATAGATACTGAATATCTTTGGGTCCTGACAGGAAAATAGCAATGCTGAACATTTACTTCAATCCTGTTGCCATTAGAACACATGTAATCGGGACAGAAAAAAGTGTGGAATCAGTTTTTGCCAAGACAGAGAATAAATCGCTTTAAAATGTGTGAATTAACTATCAGTGAAAGAACAATTTTCCATGAGAGTCTGCTCTTAGATGCAATCTGAAATTACATAAAGGAATCCAACATAGTTTTAAAACTTTAATATTCTTAGATCTTGCAGTGATTTGTACTATTTATACAGCTGAGATTTTGTTGAATTAATTATTTCAAAAGATGGTCTTATGATCTGTCTTCTTCCTCACCCTCCCTGCCCCCTCCATTCTATTTCTATTCAGCTTATGTTCTTTTGCTCAGTTGATCATTATGGTATCAGAAATGCAAAGAACACAAGCCTATTAATTTTTGTTGTAAATAATTAATTACTTTGCATAAGCTACAGTATCTTCACACCTGAGCTATAAACTCTTCTGTACCAAGAACATGGAAAGAAAAGTATATTTTAAATAAAGAAAGAATAATTCTTTAATAATGTTATAAAGAATAATAATCTTATAAAGAATTGTAAGAAAAATTGGGGATTACTAACCCCAATCATTCACTAATCATAGAATTAAAAACAACAAAGAAAAGTGTGTTGGGGCAGGTCTTTTTATTTGCCAATTAGCTTCAGAGGCTTCAGTCACATTTTAAAGCATCCACCACAACCACAACAGATAAAAGTATGCTTTATTATTAAAAAAAAATGAAAGTTAAACTTCCCATGTCTTCACTTGACTCCAACATCCAGGGTTTTCAGAAGCCACCAAACATCACAAGACTTGTGAAAGAATCAAAAGAGTTAAGAACAATGAGAAGCTGATATATTTGTGCAAGTTGAAACTAGCTTTGTTTTACTTATTTATTGAAACTTTGTTTTATTTATAACAATGGTTACAAAGTGCTCCCTGTTTTCTGTCCAGTAAATCCCTTATGCATATGTTTACTAAGATGTGTATTAGGTATTTACACTGAAGTAAGTGGGATGATTTGAGTGCTTAAATATTTTGTGGGGTCATGGCCCAAGATAGAAAGTCACTTGCAAAGATGGAACAGTAGGGAGCATCTTAGAGAACATTTTTCTAGCATTCAGGAGCTATCCTCATTATCTTTATGTACTCTGTTTTAATGGAAAATTAATGGCACGTACAGTCTTAATTTTAATTATCAAACTTTCATTAACACAGTGGAAATAACAAAGGGCAAGCATTTAGAAAGTTTAGGAAAATATTTTCTGTTGTTATAGAAACTTTTAAAGAAATCTATTAATTCATAACTTAATTTCAGACTAAATTAAGCAATCTGACCTCAATGCTGTATTATGCATATGATATAATGTGAAATATTCTTCTCTTCTGTGTTTATAAAAAATATATTCATTTTCTTTTACTATATTAAATGCCACCGATGCTTCTTGCATCTGGGATCTAAGATTAGTTTGCTTGAAATCTGAAATACTTTTGTCCTAACTAATTTAAATTAGATTTACTAAAAATGATCCATTTTGGCTGCTTTCAATAATTATATTATCTCTTACAATGCTGCTGATTTAGTCTGAGCACCTGGCATCAGGAATTCAAAGCTTCATTTTTAAAAAATGAAAGAAAAAATAACAAATCTTCTCTATGAAAGTAGCTTTCAGCATTTTCCCTTTATATTCTGTTTCTCACACTGTGTAGAGCAACAACCGAGAAAAATAATTCTTCTTGCCCTGAATTAATCTGTGCATCATACAAAGAAATTTTGGAAGAGTATGAATATACAGCTGTCTAGTGGTTTTTGAAATGTCTCCTACATATGAATTAAGAAGCATGTACTTTAAACTTAGAAAATACTTAACAAATTTAAGTCCTTTTGGAAGAAAAGTTTCTTTTTTGTAATTTTTTTTTTTTCCTTATCATTCCTATCTGGTAGTGGGGTTTTACAATTTTTTTAAAGGATAAATCCAAAATTCTATTACTGCCACTGACTCAAAAACTATGGATTTTTGGGGCTCCTGCACAAACTGTGGTCCTAAACAGTGAGGCTAGTATACTTTTCTCATGTCAAATGCACATATTAATATCACACATTTGGCAGCAGTATTGCCTGACACATTTCTGTTGAGGTAATTTGAAGAAGTGTAAGCAGTACTAAACCATTAGTGTTTAAGCAAAAATATTTAACCTGATACTTACAAATTGCTTCTTTATAGTTATTCCCATCTCCTCCTGCCAGCTGTTTCTGTCATCATAGAACTTCCCTGTGGGAAGAAAAAAAAATGTCATGAATAATACAAGAGGAGGAAGTACCCCTTAGAATAATTTATATTCTGCATTTCTGACTGACTTCTTAATGTGTTCAGTGTTACAGTTCAGTGTGAAAAGTAATGAAAAATAACCCCCCTGTTTCATTTTCTTAATTAAAACAGAATTTCTAGACAAGTTTGAGTAAAAAATATTTAAAAGGAAAACAATATACTGAAAATTCTACATATACATTATTGAACTCTGACAATGGGAAGTTGTCAGTAGTTTGCATGTAACCACGTTTCTTATTTAAGCTAGAGACAGACTGACTTTTATTAGTAAATGTTTAGGATTGGGAATCCAAAAAAGATGACAAAGCCGGTAGGGAAATACAGATCGTCCAAGCGAGAGACTAACAATAGAGGGATGGGGGTGAGGAAGGGAATGCAACTAGGTTGCAGGAGATACAATGTTAGCCATCTAAGCCTGGGGGTGGGGAATGGGAGGAAGGGGGAAGGGGAGGGAGGGGGTTTGCAACGCTGAAAGGAGATAGATGCACGCAAACCCGTTACAATGGTCCGCAATGGTGGAGAAAGTGGTTCGAAGGAAGTGTCTCAGTCCATATAGAGTCTCATCGTGGAGGTCCTCTTTGGGTGGAGCGGGGTCATCCATGGTTGAAGAATCCTCTCAAAAGTTAAGGTCCGTCTGGTGCAGAGGGGGCGTGGGTCAGGCAGTCCGGCGGCAGCTCATCTGGTGGGGTCGGAGTACAGGCGGTGGCCCGTGATGTGTTCCATGTAGATGTCGCATTTGCACATAAAATGGTTTCAGTAATCAGAAACTGGTTTAAACCTGTAACAGAACAGATGTTTAGCACACATAAACCAGTTTGAAAATGGCTGAAACTGGTTTGAGATGAACCTGGTTGAATGTAGACTTAACTGATTTGGGTCAAACCAGTGTATGCAATGTCTGTCCCAGACCCCTTCCTGGTTTAAGTTAAACCAGAGTCCACCTGCATCCTGGCATGCTCTCTGGGCTGGGCAGGGCTGTTTGCTGGAGCACAGTGGTGTTGGCCGCGCCCCTCTCTTTCCTAGCCAGAGCACTATCACTGCTCCAGCTGGCTGAGGGACTGCAGCAGCTTCCAGGTTTCTCCCTTCCTCCCGTGCCCCCTGGCTGCTCAAACAGGGATCCCCCCTCCTGCCCCTCTCCCTCAGGAGGGACCCCAGCACAGGGACATGGCATCTGGTCATGCCCCCTCCCATGCCAGCTAATGCTGAGAGGTGTCTGTGTGGGTCTTCAATTTCACTGGAACAAAGGGGAAGACAGCTAGTGGCTTGCAAATGCACCCTGCAGATAAGAAGAGCTTGAAATTAATGAAGGCTTGATGGGCTGATAAACTAGCTGCAATCTGTCAGTCTTCAAGAAGAGACAGCGAAAGGCATTAGAAATCACTTGGTTTCCAGACAGTCTGAAGAAGCAAGGAGACCGAGATTGAAAAGCTAAGTATCAACAGATGCAGGGTCTGGCAACACTCCCACCCCCTGAGCAGCTAGCAGGTAAAAGCCTGGTGCTGGAAAAGACCAAAGTGTATTTTTCTCACTCTTACATGAAATCAGTTAGGCACATTTGGCAGGTAACTAATGATTTTAGGGATGCCACCAAGACAGGGTCAAGTACTCGTATCTCTTGATAAGCTACTTTTACATCACTGGCTTCACTGGAGTTACTCCTGGTTTGTAAAGCTGTTTAAAAGAATGCTGAATCATGACTCCAGGAGGTACCTGCCAAATGTGCCTAACTGATTTCATGTAAGAGTGAGAAAATGCACTTTGGTCTTTTCCAGCACCTTGCTACAAAAGCAGAGCACAGCCTTGTGCATCCTGGCATTTATGGCATTCAGAATAATTACATTTTTGGAGTGGGAGATATTGGAATTGTTTTAGAGACCCACCTAAAAATTAGAAGCCTTGGAATGCTTGCTAAAAATATTCAGTCTTCTCAGAGGATGAGACCCAGTTCACTGCTGCCTTCTCCAGTAATTACCATGATGTAGGTATGCCAGGTGCTGCCACAACAGCTTCTAAAAGAGAAACTTCCCTCCTGTACCACCCACACATACTACTAGATGGGGGATGTACCTTAACTTCCAAATACCCTTTTAGAAGGAAGAGAGGATACAAAAGCCAAGCTGCTGCTGGACCGAGTTGCAGCCTTGTCTTCTGCAGCTCTTCTCCCTTTCTGCCATTGACTTGCCTGTCTGAAATTGAAACAGACAGTACTGTCAAGCATACAGAAACGCTGCTGTCTTTTTCTTGACCTTCCATCACCACTCCAAGAAACTTGCTTCCCCAGGTGAGCCCTCTGGCAACCAGATGAGGAATGCCTAGTGGTAAGAGAATTTGATTTCAGGAATCAAATGGGATCCAATATCCACTCTTCTGCTGCAGAAGATGCCCTTTTTATGGCCGACCAATGCACAGAAAGGGCTTTCAGAAGAGTTTACCTGCTATTGCTGCTGAAAGCAGAGACTTGAAGTGCATGCTTCTGTTACTATTCATTACTCCTGTAAGGAACCTTTCTGTGAAGGAACCCGGAAGAGAAAACTTGGTGGGTTGCGAGGAGAAGGGGCGGATTGAAAGGGTGATGGGTGGAGAAAAATAGTATGGAAAGTATGCGTTTTTGAGAGGTTAGAGAGAAAAGAAATTGGATGGATTTCTCTGTGTGGAGGAGAATAGCACAAATTGATTGTTTAATAAGAAAGTGGGTTTTTTTACTCAAATGGCTGGTGGTTTTTTGTCATACAGCTGGCATGTGTTTTTTTATGGGAGGTGAGGGCAGGGGAAACTGTTATTAAAATTTTGATGTACTCATATCTGGGAAGAATGGACCAATATCAAAGTTAGCCATGCAAGGTATTTGTGACAGTTTCTTATATGGGATAGAAAAATGTACAGGACACGCCTTATTTCTCTCTGGCTGTCCTGTGTACACAGAGACTAGTCAAATATATTACACCCAAAAATAGGTTTTCTGTATGTGAGTGCTTATGACCTCAAACTAAAAAGCATTAGAGAATGTTTATGAACTGTTAGGTTAACAGATGATGTAAAGAAGAAAAATTGTATTTATATTAGTTTGTGCAGTAACCAAAGAGGCACATTAATGACTTACCATTGCTTAGGCACATATTTTTTATGTTTATTATATTTTGTAGAATTCCTCTCCCAAAACCACACACTCAGCATTAGTTGAAAATCAACAATATTTGTACATATAGGGCCACGCTTCCAAGGAATATTGTGCCAGACCTCTGATGCTGTTTTTAAATTTTATGCTTGCATGTGAAAATTGGGTGCAGAGGTGTGTACATGCCTGATTTGAATGTATAATTGTAGAATTTTTCACTCATTTAATTGTATGTGCAGTATTTCAGGCAATTATTGTAGAGGTCATCTTTGGAAATTATGTCATCTTTAGCTAGTTAAGTGGTAGATTATTTTCCTGCCTGAGAATTGGCAATTTCCTGCATTTGCAGATACCCATAGAGATTTTCTTCAGAACAGCCCTCTGTTCAAGAAAGGTCCTCAAAGAAGCAGTTACTAGGGTTGTGTGAAGCTTTGGGTGCTGATTTGATTCAGAGGAGATTTGGCCCAATTCGGTGGCCGAATCTCCAAATCCAGATTGAATCAGGGGACCAGTAAAAAGGTCCAAATCAATTTGAAGCTCTCCGAAAGTTCGGAAAAGATTTAGAGAGCTTCAATGATTCGGGCAGTCCCCGTCTGCTGCAGCAGGGAGCCGGAGCTGGATTCGGAGCTGGTAAGTAAGGGGCAAGGGGGGGGGGGG